CGCGCACGGATCCGCTGCTCACGCGCATCCACCGTCAGCGCGAGGCCCGGGAGGAGCTGGAGAACGAGCCGCGGCGCGCAGCAGCATCGTGGGGGAGAGTCGGTGGAAAGGCGAGCCCTCGGTGCGTCCCGCCCGGATCCGCGCTGGCTGGCTCTGCCTCCGGGATGAGGGCTGATCAGTGCCACCCAGAGGAGGAGGACGGATCCCTGCCTCTCCATTGGAGGATGGGCTTCACAGCCACGACACTAAAAGGGACAGGAGTTTTTTTGATTTGTTTGTTTTTAACAGAAATTTCTGCAAAATGAGTTGCAATATATTTTAAAGACCTTCATTACATAACTCGGGAGGAACTGACCTCGATTACCAGATGGTCAACTTTAACTAACTCAGCAGATGTTTTTTTGTATATCTATAGGCACAATATACATAATACATAAAAACAGATTTAAAAGTGAAAAGGTTTTCCAATTCCAACATATTCCATCCAAAGCACGTGGCCTCCAAGTCTCTCAGGAAGCAGCAAAACTGGTTGGTGTTCTTTGATTCGGCACCATGTTCATGCAAAAAGGAGAATCATTAGTTTGGTACATCTTTTTTTGTTTCACGTATCCCAAACTGATGATTCATTTGACCTTTTTTCATAAAAACATCAAACGCATTTTTCAGGTGGAGAACTGCCACTAACTGAGCATTTTCTGCACGCCTCTGCACACATGTGGAGTAGAGTATGTAAAGCAGATATGTGGCTCCACATTCTTAAACCAATTTTATAAAGATGCAATAACCTATGTTTCTGTTTGATGTCTTTTAATCCTCCTGAAAGTGAATTATCTTTTAAATACTCCGGTTTTTAAACATGAACGGATGCTGGTGTTCCTAAATTGGTTAATTGCATATCAAGACCAACTCAAGGGAAATCATGTGTAGAAAAGAAGGATAAATATAATCAAATAGGAAACGGAGACACTCGGTAAGAACAGAAACAAGGGTCCATTCTAAGAAAGCAATGCTTCAAAGACTCGCAGCACTCTGATGTGTGTGGAGGGTATTCAGACTTTGAGGTGATACCTATTTGTCCGACTAGAAAAATGGAACTCTGAGACCTTCCCTATCGCAGCTGCATCTCCCGGGCCCTCCGTGCAGCCCTCGGTGAATATATCCGAGTGCAGAGCCATAATTAGACATGCCTTCCAAAGTCAATCCTATTTCAAAGGGCTCCTGGGGGAGATAACACACTGGCCGTAAACCTGTGGCCCCGGCTTCTGTGGCTTTAAACCGCATTCCGAATTCAATCTGGTGGAAACAAACAACGGCAGCAACAACAACAACCCCAATGTGGTTTCACTGGAACTTTTCAGACATCGTGACAGTCAGCTGTGACTCCATAGTTAGAGAAAGAGGCCGTAAAGGTCTGAGGGAGCATGTATTAGAACCAAAACAGTGAAAACCTGAAACAGGAAAAATGACGTGGTGGTGGACGGGAATCAGGCGCTTGAGGGAAAAAGCCCAAAAAGCCTGTGCACATCCCTCAGACATGCAGACCCCCGGTCACCTGCACTGGTCAGCTTTGGCTACTTATTTCCCCTTTCTGTCACCCCCCCTAAAAGCTAAACCATGAGCATGGCTGCTAACCGTGATGGATCCAGAGTGTGAGCCCCGGCAGACACAGACACACACCGTTTCTCCGGCCTGTATCCCCACCTGAGCGTACCGTTAAAGCCTCGACAGATTATCAGAGTATCTGTGTCGTCCACTAATGAGAAGAATTATCCCTGAGAAAGCAAACCAAAGTGATCGGATGATCCAGGGCGGCCTGTAACACTAGCCGTGTTTATTCCTGTCTGGCTTGGTGTGTGTGTGTGTGTGTGTGTGTGTGTGTGTGCGGGCGGTGGGCTGCGGGTGGTAAGATGAGGGGAATGGAAAGTGTTTTGTGGTCAGCAGCGGTGATGCGGGAGCGTTTAGGTGGAAAACGAGGAGAGGGGGTCTAAATAAAGTTGCTGCTGATCCAACTGCCTCCCCCCCCCTCCATCCCCCCTCTTCTTTGCTCCAGCTGTGAGGGTAGTAAATAGACATGGGATCTGAGTGTTTGCTGTGGCAACGTGAGCGCGGGGAGCTGGCTGAGCCTCCCCGCCGCTCTGATCACAACCGCTCTGACATCAAACGCACACACACACACACACACACACAGACGGAAAAGGACCTGGATGCCTCTGCAGTGCCGTGCACAACCTAGCCTCCACCTCTGAGCTGGACCCGTTTCAGCCTGTTCCCATAATGTTATCTCATCCAGGGCTGGATGGCACGCTTCAGCATGAATTAACCAGAAGATGCACACAAAGACACACACAGACACACACACACAGACACAGGGATGGGTTGGGGGGGATGGAAGGTGGGGTGGGTAAAGCTGCTCCGGTTAGTCACGACTCCTCTGCCCAGCAGATGAGCCTGAGCAACAGGGCGAACGTGTGTGTGTGTGTCTGTCTGTGTGTGTGCCTGTGTGTGTGTGTGTGTGTGTGTGTGTGTGTGTCCAGCGAGCCGCCCCTCCTCTCCTCCTTTCAGACTCCCGTTGTAGCACAGACCTGGTTGCCAAGGTAACCTCCTGTGTTGATACGTCCACGTCTGTGTTAATCAGTGGCCGACTATAATGGTCAGAGCTGGGGAGGGTTGTGTGTGTGTGTATCTTTGTGAGGAACCAATTTAGGCTACAGTCATGGTAAGAGCAAATGCATTTAGCTCTGATGGCTGAGGTAAGGAGCTTTGGACCTCTAAAACATAGAGACACCCTCTATGTGTGTGTGTGTGTTTGTTTGTGTGTGTGTGCCCTTTAAAAAGCCTTACAACAACACACAGCTCAGATGTGGTAGACATCTTCCTCCCTTTTCCCTGAATAGCAGCAAAGTAAAAAATCAATGAGACACCAGCAGAGGAGAGGCTCTAACACCAAATGGATCGATGTGTGCTCGGTTGTGGTTTCTCTTTTCCATTACCAAACACACAGCAGCCCACTTTTAACGCTCTATTAAAAGCACACAGCTTGGGGATTATGAAAGAGTGTGTGTCTCAGCGCAGTATGCATGAAAAAAAACAAAACCCTTCACAACGTTTGCTCGTGTTGTTGCAAATCATTCATTCATATGACGGAGATGTGGAGATTCCTTCATGTTTAATCCGATCATTCAAATAAAATCCAATACGATGTATTGCATCATTTTGTGTCCTTTTGTGAGAAATCAAGTCTGAGAACTCAGATCTCTTTCCGGCTAAAATGTTACAACTTTGGAAGCAAGAAACGTGTCATTGCTCCTGTCAGTTTTTGTCTGCTTACTTCAGTCAGAGCGGCCGTCTTGTCCAGCCGTCCGTCCATCCGGTCAGCGAACAGAAACTCCCAAAGGTCTCCTGACCGCATGTGAACCCGGCCGCCCATCAGTCGGTTTGTTTCTAAAATCATTCCCAGCACAGAGTCCTGATTTGTGTGTCGGTCCACCAGATGTGTAATCACCTCTCTTTTTCCCCCAATTTTTCTAGTTCTGCCTCCACATCTGCTTTTGGAATCCAATGATATGAATCTGTTATTCATGCACTTGCTCAGGATTTCTACATCTTGTCCTTGTTGTTAAGTATGTGAGTGTACTTGAACTCTGTATACTTATTCCAAATCTGTTCGTCTCTCTTTTTAAGTGAAATGTGGCGTCTTCCACTAAAAGTGTGTGAAGTGTGTGATGTCTGACAGATCAATCCAGTTTTCCTCCTGAGGGAAACCTTCATTGTTTTACCTTTGAGAAGAGTTGGAGAGGAGCAGGAGGCAGTCTGAGCAGAGTGAGTGGGCGGCTGGAGACAGGCTCCATCTCAGCACACACACACACACACACACACACGCGGGAGGCTGGCAGCGACATCTGCTCCATCTGCTGCCCCCCCGCCACCTCGGCCCCGGCTCTGCGCTGAGGAAAAGAAGGCTGAGACATGAGCCCAGGAACCAGGGTGAGGTTTGTCCTGCTGTATTTTTAGGTTATCGAAAGCCATAACCTGATCCATCCCTCGCCGTGTCTGGAGTTTGGATGCGGGTGTGAATTCCGTTTTCATTTCTATGCAATTTAATAGCGGAACTCTTCCCTGATCTACATGTAAATGTGTACGACAGCATCACAAACAGACGGCAGTCGTTTGCTTTTAAAGGTGGAAAAAAGTCAGCGTTAGCTTCATTGTGGACTATAAAACTTAATTCTGCTGTTTCTTGTTTATTCTGGAATGTCAGTTCAACGAGACACACGGAGGCTTCACAAAAACATCCTTTGCATCTCCTTAAATGCAGCTCAGATTCCCGCATCTCAGCTCAGACGTCTCCTTTGTGGTCTGGCTCTGAACATCAAAAGCTGAATCTGCCGCTCTAATCAGGCTGTTAGCTGAGGGGGACGCTCTCTGTTCTGATGAGCTTGTCAGAGGCCGGCAGACTCCCGCCTTCCTCCCCCTTCCACTCGTCACAGTTTTTCCATATCACTCTGCGAACAGAGGCAGAGAGAATGGAGAGGCCTCAAACTATCCGCGTCACAAACAGCCGGCACTAACTTTAACCCGGAGCTAATCGGGATGGATTTTTAGTCCAAACAAGACTGAAAATAAGTAGGAACCAACAGGGTGATTTGAAGAGAGAGGACAAGAGAAGCATTAGTAAGCCGGAAATCTGTCTCCAACAGATGGCCAGTATCTGAAAGTGATGTCCTGAAGAAATTTGGAAAAAAATCCAGCAATAGTGTGACACAGCTCTGACACCTGAGGGATGAGTCTGGATCTCCAGTTGGATCTCATCAGAAGTGTCTGTGCTCTCTGAGTAAGGGCGTTGGGAAACAGAACAAGGGAGGGAGGAGTTTAAATGACTTATTAGAGGGGTAAAATGGGGGGCATTCACAGCTGTTCTGGATTAATTGTAATGAATAAGGTTATTATTCTCATTATCTCTGAAAATGTCAAGAATTCAACAGATGAGCCATAAGATAAAGTTTGAACAAGTTTTTTTAATTGACATTCATGTCAGGAGAAACAAATAAATCCACATTTCAAAACGGGCTCCTGTTCGTCTGACAGATAAACAAGATTTTAATACACTTTGGAAAGAAAACAAACACAGACACAACAACTTAGAATACTTTGAAAGAGCAGCATCAATCTGACCTTCTTCTGAAGCTCTGGAAACTGGACAAGACGACATAGAAAACGAGCCGCGGCTCCTCAGGCCTTGGTGATGTAGCCTTCTTTGATCAGGAAGTCGTAGATTTTTCGGGTCTTGTTGACGTCGATCTTGATGAGCGCTCGGGCCTGGGCCAGCCGCAGCCCCCCCTGCCGCCGGCACTCGTTGAGCAGGGCCTGCTTGTACTCCAGGTAGGCTCCGGGCACCAGCCGCACCACCTGACAGAGCTGCACACGCACAGGGATTACAAACAGGAAGCCGCGTTTCAGACCCGCGCGAGGACTCGTCTGGCTCTGCTGCACCAACTCTCCCTAAAAACCTGTTTTACTCGGGCTTATCAGAAGCAGGAGTTATTTACGAAAAGTCTGACTGCAGTAGATTGTGAGCATACCAGAGGAATAGGTCCATTCTAACCCTGAAAAACGCCTCTGACATCTGAAATAATCCCTTCCTGTTTCCCCACCCAGGCTCCGCCTTCTACTCTGGCCTGAATGTTGAGCTGCTGGAATGATTCCTGCTGCTAATTCAGATGCTTTGATTTTGATCTGTTATGATTACATCTGTTACCATAGCGACAGGAAAGCTATTTGCATGTGAAAGCAACTGACTGAGTATGGTAGGATACGTCTAGAAGCGGGCTCCAGGTAAAGATGGATTGTGGTGAAACCTAGAAGGCTGAATGGAACCACTGGCAGACGCGAAAGGCAGGCCTGAAGTTTTTGGGCTCTTTCTATGACACTTATTTGCAACATAGCAATATCTGTAGAATATTTGTCTTTGCAGATTGGGAAGAAACCAAAGGATCCTCCTGATTTAATGAATACATCTCTTTTTTTAGAAGTTTGGTGGAAATAAAATTGTTTTGGTCTTTTGTGAGAAAGATTCTTCCATTAGTTGTTGTTTAAAGTGAGGCGGGCTGAGTGCACACAGAGGTCGGGCGCTTACTTGATGTGTCCTGGCAGCGTTACGCTTTTACAAACGGGAGGTGACACCTGCTAGGGCTCGTTTCATTTTCCATAATAAAAAACTGACATGGACGGAGCAGCTGGGAAGGCTGGCGGGTCACATGTACCGGGAGCAGGGCTGCCTTCCCCCAAGATCAAATCAATTATATCCCAAAAAATTCCTCATAATAATATTACTTCAAAACCTATAGAAAACGTAATAACATTATCACATGTACGGCTATATATCATCCAGTAATGATATTATTACTGTTCCCATGGGCTTGTCACTAAATTACTTATAGTAGGTGGAAGCTATGAGAGCCAAAGGACCATTAACAAAAGAGGAATCAAAAAAGATGTGTTTATGTTTAGGTTAGTTGGTACTTAAACTGGCCCCGAGTCGGAGGCTTTTCTGTAGGCATCTGTTCTACGACGCCAGATCGGGTTGAGCAGAACTTTAAGGAGAAAAATTCCCATACAGACTTTTCTCTGGAGTAGAACGCAGCTGCATGCTGGTGTGTTTGTGAGTTTGAATGGCCACACAGTGACCGGTCGTGGCTGTACCTCTTTCTCCCGCTCGTTGAGCTTCTCTGTTCCCGGCAGCCCGGTCAGGTTGAGGGGGGGGGCGCTCCTCCTGCCCGTCGCTGCGTGGCAGAAATCCAGCAGCAGTGAGAAGCAGCAGTATAAACGTGCATTTTGTGAGCCTGTAGGTATTTATGGAGGCGTCTGCCCGGGGCGACGCCTCGACGACAGATGACAGAGCTCAGAACAAGAGAGAGAGGCTCCTACCTGACACTGTGATGGTGGTGACAGCTGGAGTGACGCCAGCGTCTCTGGAAAAGGGAGAAAAGGGCCATTATCTCTGCTGCCATGTTTAGACTCACACTCAGACGTACTTTGTTTGTCTGTTTTCACTCCAGACAATCATCCAAAGAAAAAAAAAAAAAGAAAAGACGAATCATCACATTTGACTTTTTCTGTAATATGGAACTTGGATAGCAGCTGGAGAAAATGCCCCGGATCAAAAGGCTGGAAAAAAAAAAAAGAAGCGACCGGGGTGGAAGTGGAATTCACAGTCACACCAGTGTGTTGGGAGGCTCACATTGCGGCCTGCTTGCTGAGCCACTGCTGGCAGGCGCGGCCGTCCTGGATGTACTGCAGCACGTCGCACAGCATGGTCCTCTTCCGGCGCTCGTCCTCACGCATCCGCTTCGCCCGCTCGTACACTTTGGCACCTGAGAAACGGAGGGTCTCATTAGGGTTGTAACAGCAGAAGAACATAATCAGGAAAAAAAAACTCAGATTTGTCACAAAGATCAAAGCACCAAACCGTCTCTGTTCACGCGACTGGGCTACATGAAAAAAACAAAGTCTGGATATGAACCCGTCCTCCTGCTTGTTAAGGTTCTGCTGAAATCAGCGGAGAAAAGGTCGAACGTGACTCACTGCAGAAAGACTTGATCCCTGCTTTTCTGTACTCCTGCAGCCGGCGAATCTCTCTCCTCAGCTCAAACTCCACTGCCGAGAGAAAGAGACGGAGGCCATTCAATGCAAACCTGCACACGTGGCTCTCAGAAGTGCCCTCGCAGCTGCGGTTCAGTGCTTGGTGCACAGCGAACGCTCGCTCAGAGGCACTCAGACGGCCTCCTGAGAGCCATCCAAACTCCACCGGCAAACTTCTGTGCTCACGGTGAAACGAGAGCCTGCAGCAAGCCTCGCTTAAGGAAAAAAACAACCATTTAACAGGTAACCTCTGTTATGAAACGATTATCCTTTTATTTTGAGTTAAAAATGAGTGAACTGGTAGTGGTTATCCTACACTACACCTTCATTACAAACAAATACAAATGACACATAAGCACCTGTGATACTTCAAACTGCTGAATGGTCCGGCTGTAAATATGGACCTTTTGGAAAAGTGGCAATTATCTCACTATCTTCCCAATCTTTATTCCAGTTTTTCACACTTCTAATATTATGAACTAACAGCACTTTAACCCTAGGAGAAATGTATTTCCACAGTTAGAAATAGTACCAATAATCACAGTCAAGAATAGAAGTACACACACAGAAACAGGATAATTACCCAGCTATACTGTAACTATTGAAACAGACTATGTGCTGCAGACTATTTTGAAGCTGACTGACTTTTGTTCTATGCATTTCAATCACTCTATTATCCAAAAGAGGAAGTTTTCACAGTCGGCTCATAGCTGGTTTAATGGTGCATAACAAGCTCTGGACACCACTAAGACTGAGAACTGCCTTCATTCCAGCCAACGACGTGCTGACCAAGCTGAGCTAGTCTGGCGAGATCTAGTCCAAAGAATATTAGCAGTGTTTGCAAACACGGCGTGTGAGTTCAGCCAGATACTAACGTGCATGACTTTCGATGAATTTGTCGTGCTCAGTGGGTCCAGCCACTCTGGCAAATCTCCTCATGACGTCATAGAGCTCCTGCACTTCCTTTGGGTAGCATCGCTCCAGCACTGGCAGAGAGAGGAGAAGAGAGGAGAGGAGTGAGTGGGCAGCTCCAAAAACATGAAAGAAACAAGACACGTGCTGTTCCGTCTGGTTTGTGAAGTACACTTCGCCCCAATGAGCAGAAAATCTGAATCGGCACAGCGTTTCCCTCCCGGGCTTCGGGGGTCACGTCTTAAAAGATTTCAGGCCTCGATGGTGGAGGCTTCTGTTGTGAGAAAAACATGAACCGAGCTGAAATTTCCCCCGGTTCCGGTCGTCGATGGCCACGATTACATGCTGCTAATTTCAAAGCTGTGTAGATACTTCACAAATCTAATCCTCAAAGCTTGCCGAGTTAAAAATAATCGATGCCCACGAAGCAGGAAAGGCGATAAGAAGATAGGAAAGCATATTCAAGTGGTTACCTCCCTGTTGTGTAAGATGATAAAAAAAAAAAACATTTCTTTAAAGATGCTCTTTGCTACTGCAGATCAAAACGCTTGATTAGACATTTGTGGAGATCTGACAAACACTGTATTTGTTCAACATTTGCAGCTCAAACAATCATCAGGATGAAACCTTTTCGTCTCCATCATGTCAGCCACTCCGTGCTGACGTGATGGAGGCTGCTGCACAAAAAGCCTTTCCCTGTGGTGACCGATGGATCGGTATGCGCATGTCGTCTTAAGCTGAGCAAGAGACCACACAAAGCTCAAGATGCCTTCGTCTGAAAACATCAACCGACAGTCTGTACCTGACGAATTCTGTTAAGCCATTTGTGAGCGGGAAAAGAATAAAGCACTTTGCTCGATTTGATGTCGAGCATGTGGATGTTTGAATACGGTGAGTGTCTGAGAGCTGACCTCTACACAATAACTCCCCCTGTCTCCCTGTCCATTTACTTAAACTACACAAATGTGCCTATTTCAACAGTCCGATTTGGTGAATACTTTGATTTGGTACAAACTGCAAATAACAAACCACTCCTGGCTTAATGGTTTATGATTTTGTGTTCATCTTATTCAAAAACCAAACTGTGTTCCGGTAGGTTTAGAGGTGTGAACGCAAACAGAAAGAGCTCTGAATGCCCCTCTGCTGTTGCCTTTTCTCTGACGGACACAGCAATGAATGAAAAAAAGAAGTGAAACTCAATAGAGGATCCAGCAACATTGGGGCATCAAACCGAATCTCTGTCGGTGGGATTGTGGCAGCGATGCTCAGCTAATGTGTTCTCACCACACTTAACTCGCTCAACAAGCATGAACGCTCCGGCTTTGTGCGTCTGAAACATCAAACGTGTTGCTGAGTAACAGGGGAAGGTGGAAGCCGGGGAGCTGCTGCTGCCGGTCAAGTCTCCTCGTCACACGACGGCGTGCGAGCGCTAATTAGCAGCTGCCGGCGGCGGCTGAACACGGCGAGGCGCGCTCCCTCAGAGGGAGAGGCCACGGCGGAGCTGCTCCCGTCTCCAAGGAGACGGCAGGCACCAGCCTCCGCCTGATCTCGTACCTGCGTGCAAACCAGCGCGTCACCTGGCCGCTCTGCCTGCGGCAGCCCTGGGAGCCTCCCGGGCTCAGAGGCTGCCTCCATTATCGCGCGTGACACACACAAGGACACACACATCCTTTGTCAGTCTCCATGACAACCAGTCGTGCAGCTCCACGGCCGCACCGACTCCTCTTTTGTCTTGAACGACCGAAGAGATAAGGGAGAGGAGGGGAAAGGGGAGGAGGGCTAACTGGAGGCTGAGGGGAGACATAAATAAAACATGAGAGGAAAACTCTTCGGCTCCCGAACCGCTGACAGCTGCGCGTGGAGGTGTCACAGTGGGCCGGCTGGTGGCACGCAGTTACCAAAGGCTATAATTGGACAAATATCTCACGCCAGCCCTCGCCGTCTAATGAAAAAACCTGCGAGATGCAAAGAACTGCATCACCGGGCTCTGTAAAAGGAAAGCTGCAACAGGTGGATGGATGACTCCGGCCGCATTTCGCTCATTACGGCAGCAGAGCTCATCAGACTACGGTTACTGCCCCGCCGACTATTTACTGCTCTGCTCGTAAATACACGACCTTGTCGTTTGCCACACTCGAGCTCGAGCCACACCCCCACCCCCCCGCCCAGGGCCACAGAGGTTAATGCCGGTTATTAAAGCGGGGGCTGTTTTGGGGCGTCCATAGAAACACTCTGCATTGATTTAGCAGCTAGATACGAGATGCCTCCCCAAGCTGGTATGAAGAGCGTGGCACAGAGGGTGTCAGCAGGGGAGGGGAGGGGGGAACTCACTCTGGAATTTCCGAAGGTTGATCAGTCCGTGGTCTCGGATGATCCTGGAAGAGATGAGCATGTCAATTCTGTTGCTACCCTCCAAAAACATTTGTCCCAAAAAATAAATACATGAATAAAAAAAAAAAGAAAAAGAAATTACAGAAGGTTAATTAACTTAATCTTGTCTAATATTTTGACCCCACATTTTTCAAGCAACACCATAAGTGAATTAAACAGCTGTGGAGTTACATCCCCGTTTGTGATAAAGACCTCTACAGGAGACATCCAGAACTCGCTCATTTGAAGATATGCCAAATCAGGGCTTCTGAAAATCGGGCATGAGCAACGATATGAGCTCTGCGTTCCGCTGAAAAACGCCGGGAGCGTCTCTGGCCGGTTAGCGACCATAAAACATGAGCGCGGCTGGACGTCGGCACTGGAAAATGTGGCCCAGCCTGACATGCCATTCCAACGTGCTCAGGGAGCACAAACCCGTTAAAGTTGACTTAGTGAGGAGGCACTGGAACGACAGCAGTCTTTGAGTGACAGTTAACAGGCCGATGGTGGGAGGCATCTCCTATTTTTAGTGTCTCTTAAACGACTCCTGATTTCTTAAATCGTCCATTAATCATGACATCAGAATAGAGTCGATACTTAATAATAAAAGTGGATTAAAGAACCTTTTGTGACCCTCTGAACGGGGCCGCTCTGCCGTTTGGGGCCTTTCTGAGAGCTTTTTCTGAAGTCAAGCGTCGATTCAGCTGCGTAAAATTCGAGATGTTTGCAACACTTGAGTTACTTACAGAGAAACGGAAATAAAGCTGAAGACACTGGACACCAGGACGAGGCCTACAGAAGCTACTGCTCCTTCGTTAATGTGACTTTACAGTTCCAGCTCATCTGCCGTACTGTTAAAGCTGAAGTCCAAGTATTAGAAACATTTAAGATGAGCGTTCTTTTATGTTCGGTCTATAAAGAACTGCTAGCTCTTGTCATTTTTCAGATGAACTAGTCGCAGAACGTTTGATTGGTCGGTGCAAAAACTGCCAGAAATGGCGCCAAAGTGCCCCGAGCACCAGAAACAGTGATCCCTTTCCCACAGTTGTCAATACTGGCAGCAGCCAGCACAAATTAGCCCCGGGTTAAGGCAAAAGAGAGGACAACGCTGGGAACAAAATGCCAAGCATTAGACCTGCACGGGGATTAAACATTTTGCCGGCGCGGGCAGGATGATCCTTTTCCAGCTCCAAAACGGGAAAAATGTCAAATATTTTGGCATGTGCTGTGCTCACTGGGGGGGGACAGGCGCATGTTCCTCAAATCCAGAAATATTCAGTGTTCGAATCAAAGTTTTTACAGCTTTCAAGTTCAGTCTGCATGACCGCGTGTAGCCTGTAATGAGAGTTCGGATACAATCCTTTAATGTGGAAATTGCAGCCAGCTGCTGACCGAAAATATAAGTCCATCAGGACTTGGATGCCTTTTAAACCGTTTCAGGAGGAACAGAACTAGAGGTACAGACACATGGGCACAGTGAACCGGGTAATAATAGGAGGAGGTGAACCGGGAATGTTTTAAATTCTCAAATTTAATCCGGGAAAAAATTTAGATCGATTAACTTGAAAGCTTCAAAAGTATCTGTTCCAGAGGAAGACACAGAGGGTAATGTCGCCACCTGCTGAAAGGCAGGGGTCAGTGCAGGGGGCCCAACTCATTTTTCATCATTTAATGAATAAAAAAAGACATTTAAAAAGCACCTACTTCTTTCTTCTTTGTCTCTCCTTTAATCTTGAATGATATATATCTACAACAGCGAGCTTGAGTGCTGTGGAAGAAGCCGGCACAGAGCAGTTAAAGCCAGCATTGTGTTCTGGGTTACCTCTAACGATCAATAAACAGAAAAAAAAAAAATCTATTTAAGATTCTGCTTACCCCTTAGGATGTCTGAGTCATCATCCACAAAGTCAATGTCTTTCAAATCCCATTCTGCATAGTTGTCAAACTCCTAAAAGAGATGAAAGACCATTTTCAGAAGCTGCCGGTTTGATGTGAGAAGCCGATAAACGATAAGCAATTTATGAGGAGAGCAAAAGAGAGGATGATTCTTTAACCGCGAGGCATCAGTCACGATTTCAAAAGCACCGATAATGAGTCCTCTGGTGGCTGCCCTGCTGATGACAGGCCCCGTTAGCAGACCCACCGGCACCCCCTCACCTCCATGAAGTCGGCTCTGGCCGGCATGTATCCCGCCATGTCCCGAGACAGCACCGAGTCAAAGGTGGGCCGCGGGGGGTCGTCGGAGGCTTTGGCACCAGAGGAACGCATGAACACACACACAATACAGGACACACTGAGTATGGAACCCCCCTTGTTTCCATAACCTCTGAGTGTGAGGGATTTACTGTCAGAGTGGGACTGGAACATTTGCCAGGCTCTGAGAGGCAGATGGAGACCTGGAGCCGCCAAGAACTGCAGCAAGTTTGGGACTAACCAGCTGCTCCAGCCCAACTGTCAGGCCTGCAAGTGAGCCTTCTTTCACTATTAGTTCCTCACTATCACTATTAGTTTAAAGATCTGTCTTTTAATAAAATGGAAAATTTGTTCTTACACTTATTCCATCCCATCAGAAAAGGCAAAGCAACACTAGGAGGCCTGACGACTTTAAAACTCATATGGATGTTATTATTATTATTGTTATGGATATGAGAGCAGAAAAAGTCTATGTCATGTCCCTGTTCTCTGCTTAAAGTGAAGAAAATCAAAGGAGATAAAATATGTGTCGCTTACGTTTGAAAGGAATGGCCCCCTCTGCAAAGCGAGAGTCTTTCGCTTTCCGCAGGCCAAGCAGCGTGGAGGAGAAAAGAGGGTTATTGATGAAATTCTTCATATAGTGGCTCTCGCATTCCTCTTTAGTCTTAGAGCGCATCTGGTATGCCACATCCTGCCTGTGAAGACAAAAACCCCCACAAATGATTAGAATAGGTTAGAGTAGTGAGGTCAGTAAGATCTGTTTTATGGAAATACAGTAAACCAATCAAGCACCGCTGCTCTACTAAATGTTCTTTGATATTTCTTTCAAAGAAAGAAATGGGGAATAAATAACTTCTTTCTATGTGTGAAAGCATGTCAAGTCAAATTTAACTTTGAACAAATTAGGTTTTATTGAAAGAAGAAAGTTTTATTGTTTTTGTTTTTTTTGACAAAACTGTCATTTATTTAGACTTTGCTGCCAAGTCAAATGTGGTATGTAATGTTTTATCTGCACATTATGGTTCATTTCACATTAATTAATAGATATGTCTGCCTTTTCTTGTTATGACACATTCATATTCACACTCAATACTCAAACAGCCATAATGTGAACTTATCAGTCAATACTCAACCAGGAGGGGAAAAAAGGTGTTCAGGGCAACTTGTGGGCATCTAACAATGAGAAATAAGTTAACATTAAAATCATATTTGCTTTGACTTCCTTGATTGACCATTTGAAAGAGACTCAAGGGTTTTTGTTGCTTTGGGCAAATAGCCGAGCTCTGTATCAGTGTAACAGCTTTTTGTAATAAGCTGCACTCAGGCCCATGAAAAGAACAATCAATAACTAACTAATGAGCAAACAGCAGCTGTCTGTGTGCACAGTGAGGTAAAGTTTCAGCCCTCGGGCAACGAAACCGAGATTGTGTCAGAAACACCTTGAAACCTTACATGATGATGGCAGGAGTGTGGGAATGAGGGAGATATTCAGACTGGCCTTCAGTTCACACACAAAAAAAACAAAACAAAATACACTCACCAGTTCCCAAAGCCACAGTCCATGACGGCCTCCAGCAGTGCCATCTCCTCCTGCGCCGTCCATCCCGGCTCCAGCACGGGGAAGTCCGACGTCTGCGGGCAGATCACAGACGTGAGGGTGTGAGGCGGGGGGGAAGGGGGTTACGCAACACAAGAAACCAACACAAGGACTAACTCACCATGATCTCATATTTGTGATCACTCTGATGCTTTTTGTACTCGAATCCCCTGGTGAAACACTGAGACAAAATCATGCATTTAAGATGATCCAATGCAGACTCAACATCGTCACACTTAAGATATCTGGTCTGTTTAGCTGAAGTTTGGTTTAATTTCAAGAAAAAGAACATTTTAAAGAAATCATATACATTTGTTTTGTAAAATTTGATGTTACTCAAACCAGAAAAATATATGATTTGCTTTCTAAATCATCCATTAATGAATGAATGTGATCTAGAATTAGGTAGGTTTCACCCTCCTGATGATGTGTTTTAGCTTTCTTCCCCCTCACAGACAGGGCCTCCAAAGGTGTCTGCACATAAATCAGTCTACCATCTGCTTAGGGACTACCTTTATCCAATTTGTTCTTAACCTCCCACTGCCAATAACAGCATTGATTTCTCTCATTAACCATCACTCTGGATTTAATACCGCGTGTCATGTCGGTGATGCAGGAGAGAATCAATACACACAAAGATACACCTATAAAAATCCAATCAATACAATTTCTAAAGTGATTTGGGTTCAATTTGCCCCCCCCACTACAAATCTATTCTACTACAATTTGGATCTGTCAAAATCAGATTTGGGCTGGCTGCCTGAAAAAGGCCTTCATTTAATAAGCACGGCACCTGGTGGATGGTTAACTGAATTCTAGTATTTGCATATTGAAATAAAGAAATATGGTGTTTTCTTGTGTACAAATCAGACTGTAAATGTATATATCAAGCAATAAAAAGACATACTGAGAGCCCATTAAATGTTTGTAAAATATTCTGGATAAGCAATAAATAGTGCTTCCTATTAGTTCTCCACTTTCTATCTGTTTTAAGTTCTTTTTGCCTGACCAGTCCTTAAAAAAACAGCTGAAACAATAGTGTGTATTTGTTTGCTGACCTGGAGACAAAGTAAAAAAGCTGAGGGACACTCTGCACACTTGATGTAGGGCTCCGTCAGGTATGAGGAGCAGCCTCTGCAAGGTGGTTTATCAAAGGGGTCATCTGAAATTGACACAATTAGGAGTCATTGCCATTTTTTAAACATTTTTTATCATTTCAACACTTGAGAAGCTGCAGCACATTTCAACTAGCTGCCCTAAATTTAAATGGAAAACAACCATTTTGCTCTTTTGAAGGGGTCCAACTGTAACTCAAAGATTAAAGACAATATCTGGCTACTAACCTTAGTGGTAAATGTGCATGTTAATCTAACGAAGCTTTAGCTTTGAAGTTTATCTTTTCCAACTAACTGAACAACATAGACTGTCAGAGAACATCTCAAAATGTCTGTACAGTGTGTGTTTAGCCGGTTTCACCATTATTCTCGCTAAAGGCTAAAGATAAAGCTAGCCAAACAAAGCTAACTGAAGCGTTAACAGCTAACCAAAGAAGACATCCGCGAAGACTGAGATACTGCTGTTAGTTTTCTTACGTCTGTTTAATACTAATCAAACTTACTTGCAAAAGACGCTATACGGTCCATTCTGTGATGTTTCTTTGAAAAAGAAAACCAGCACCGATGATTGATTTCAATCTATTTTTCCAACCTCGCAAGTCGCACTGATTAAGTCAAAGCCAGTCGAGCTCAGATTGACCGATGGCCCCTTTACGCCCCCCAGGCTTCCAATGTGTTCTCACATTAAAGTTGCAATAAAAAAAAGTCGTCTTGTATATGTGTGTTTGTTAACAAAACCGAAGGTATACAAAGGTTTGGAAATGCTCATTTTGGCCAGCTGAAAGCAGAATTTAATCAGGTTCATCTGAACCTTGGCATCAATGTTCCTTTGCTTTAAAACTTTCAAAATTTCTTTAACTTTTCTAGCAAACAGAGAATGATTCTCCAAAGAACTACGATACTACATGAAGAAACATAATGTGAGGATGGGAGTGGGACATGCTTAAATGTTTCCAGGAGGCTCCAGGCAAAAAGAGACTGTGGCCATTCTATATCTCACCACAAGGTGATGATCTTACACCATTTCATGAATGAAAAAACTCACACCTTGGAAGCCTTTGTTTCCTCTCAGCACAGGTCAACACCTGAGTGCTGCACGTGCACCAGGTCTTGGGCAGAACGGAGGACTGAAAAATGGCACATGCCACACTTCAACCACCCCATGCTGTTCTGGGCCCGTGTAAAGTTCTTCCAGGAGTGCTGCTTACCCTGAAAACGGCCCTAAAAACAGCTCGCTTCAATATAATATGTAATAAATATCCACAAGACCTGATATTTTCCAGCCCCCGTGTCCAACTTTGGCCTCTGAATCAAATAACTGCTCCAGAAACTCAAGGACGGCCCAGTGATTTCACATCAGGGGACCTGGCAAGCAAAGATCTAAAACCCTGATGCATAAAGCTGCAGCCCTGCATGTGTCAAACACACTGAATGTTATAGTGGAAAAAAAAGAAGGTCTTTTAGATCCCAGGGAAACGACTCTCTGATTCAGTGCAGATGTGGTAACAGTGTTGTTTATCTCTGAAGCTAATCTATGCCGATCACCTTTCTGTAGTTACCAATTACAACCTTTAGGTAGGGAATGTAATCCTTCTCACATTTGGATTTAACCTTTTGGAGAAAAACAAATCAAACAAATGGGATGTGGAGCAGATACTATAGCTTGGGCTTCAGTGCAGCTAAAAGTTTTGATACTGGGTGAATGTTGTCCTCTTACTACCCTGAAACTTCTCTGTGAGGACGATCCACAGTGACAACTGAGTGGAGCTCCAGCGTAGCCTCTGTCCCATCTCAGACCCACTGTGGCTGCATTAGACCTTGAGCGGGAGGCTCGGTCAGCCTGAGAGCCCAGAGCACTGCAGATCCGTGAGTAATAAAGTGTCCGCCCAACAGACAGTGGACGAAACGGGAACAGTGGCACTTCCCCCCTCAGTGGAATTTCCAGCTAACTGCTAGAACGGTTTGTTTAACAATCTTGCGAGACCGTTATGATTTATTTATCTCTGAAGAGGAACTTCTCGTTTCCCTGTGACAGTTTGCACTGTAAGTGGTTTGTAGATAAAGGGAAGTTTCCCCCTGTTCCCGGACCGCTCCTTTTGTTCCCGCAGGACACACACTTCAGGATCAAAACTATGTGGACACATAAACATCTGACATCAGAGCATCTTGTAAAATGATTTAGTAAGTAGCTACCCTCCTCCACCCGTCTGAGATGTCTCCCTAATAAAATGTGCTATAAATACTTTATTCAGTTTGTCAAAACATGTTTCTCACTGTGTGAACTGCTGATAAAACAAAATGCAATTTTTCATTGGATCATTTTAATTTTTACAAAAGTAGCACTTTCTCTAATCCAAACTGAGTCAAACTATAAACACAATGTTTTTTTCTCTTTCTTTTTAATAAAATTCCTTAAAATACTTATTAATCAGAACACAGAACAGAACTCCATTGAAATGTGCCTGAAACTATTTAGTTCCCAGGTTTGTCTGTTATGTGCAGCTTCTCATGGTGTTGTTGTGCAAAAATATCATATATCCATCAATCCATTGTCTTCCACTTTCCTGAGTTTGGGTTGAGGAAGCAACATATTCAGGAGAATCATCCTGACATACCTCTCTGTTTACTTTCTCCTGCCCCTCTGAGGGGATCCTCAAGGCGGTGCATGGCCAGAGGGGTTAATCATCACTGGGTCTGCCCGCCGGGCAGATGAACAATTCATTCCAAAATGACGAAATGTTTTACATTTTTAATTTGGAGAAGGATGGTTAAATTAATTAATTATACTTGTGCAAGATTTAAGATAGTGGAGAACCCCTTCTCATCTTTCTTTCTGGAAGACTCAGTTTTTGTGTAGCAGTGACATTTTAAAAAATTTGCTACATATGAATATGTATATTGCTTCAAGCAAAGCTTTTTTTCCCCACATTATTTTATTATTTGAAAAAATAGGTAGAACTGCTGAGTTACAATGTTTAATTTTCTGTCATTGTAGTTATAACTACAGCTCAAATTACACTCAGATTGAATGGTTGAATGATAATTAAGAAAAAGACCATTTTTAAAAATCTTCATTTAGATGGAAGGATGGCTGTGGAGATTTAGCTTACATCAATTTGAAGGTAGCAAAAAGGATGTTGTCCATCCATTCATCCATTCATCCATCCATCTATTTTCTATTCCTGCTTAATCCAATTTATGGTCATGGGGGGTTGGAGCCTATCTCAGCTGTCATTTAGTGATAGCCATGGTACGCCCCGGACAGGTTGACAGTCTATTAGCCTCTCACAGGGCCACGCAGAGACAATTGGGACACACAACACTTTACAATGTTTTTTTTTTTCTTTGTTTTCTAAAATTTTACGGGACATGAGGGTTAGGATGAGGATCCTCCCCGAGATATTGGGGAGTAAACCACGAATAGCGTTTCAAATATTATATACAGTGATATTAAAAAGTCAGAGGACAACTGAAAACATTTCAATAATTTTTCCTGTTCTTTGTGTTTCTACACCATATATCTGAAAAGGTAGAAATACCATAAAATGATCGGGAAATCGTTGCCAGGAGCCTGCAGACTGATTTTGTGTGGACGGCGCTGTGGCTTCCAAATGAATTTAATTAAGCATAACTCTAACTGCGAACCCAAGATGAAATTCTTGGGTCAGCATATGTGGGAGCATACTGTAAAAAATCACATCTTGGCAGTGAACGCGGGCAGAATTCATTATCCGCATGGACACTAACAAAGAAAAAAAGTGTGAGCGTGGCAGAGCGACATGTGTGCTCCCCGACGATGGCCCCCGCTGCAGCCTGTGGGCAGGCAACCTGCTGTCTCTCCACCCCCACCCCCCCCCCCCCATACACCGCCTTTCTCTGTGCCTTCACACCAACAGAAAGAGACCCCAAAGACCAGGAAACCCCCACCCTCCAGGCCTCACACTGCTCAAGTGGATCAAAGACCGGCAGCCTTGAGGTTTCTCTGTTACAGGCGTGTGCCAAATTATACAGCGGCCAACCAAACACCCCCCACCCTCCCCATTACATCTTTAAAAACTCCCCCTGTCCCTGCCCACTCCTTTTCCTCTTACCAAAGCACTTCCCAGCTGCTGTGATATTTGAATATGAGGGCCTCCCCGAAGAAAAGGGGGCATCTGGCACACGCCTCAGCGGGTGAAACAAAAAAGTGTAAATCAGCTCCTTTCAGGGAAATGTCCTCAAACAAGATTTAACATCTTCTTATCACAAGAGGTGGAATGGACACATCCTGGACAAAAGAAAGCAGAAAGAAGGGGACAGCTGGAATATGTCAATATGAAAGCTGGAGCCAGAGTAACTTTGATTTGTGACAAGCTTCTCATAGAATAATTCACCAAGAAAACATTAGTTTCCATCCACTGGTCTAGTTAGAAAACTATATTAAAGTTTTGTTACAAAACAGACCAAGGCCACAACACATAAAAAAAATGTTTGTATTTGTATCAAAATTCAGATTTTTTTTATGTTACACCGGTTCAGTCTTTGATTTGTGACTCATTGTAGCCAGAATTTGACATGTTTATATGGGAGCCTAAATTTGACACTGCAGCCAGATAACTGATCTCAAGTGTCTTTTGACAGAAGTTCTTAGTGCTGCTGAAACTGCAGAATGGTCACCCTTTCTCTTTTTAGGAGCAGCTGTTAGAGCCTTTCCACAGCCTCTCCCAGCCTTTGTGGAGAGATTTGAGCAGAAGTCAAATAACGCTTGACACGCAACTCTTGACAATTCTGATTTATGTGCAACCTAGAACTTAAAGTTATCAAATCATTTTTTCATGAAAGATTACTTGATCAAGACTGACTTCTTTCCTGAGCACTCGGGTAGATCTAAATGAATTAATAATAACAGATGACGCTCCCGTGAATGTGTCATAAGTCATGAGTGAGGGAGAGTCCTCCTCCATATGTTCCACCTCCCTGTGAGCGCGGTCCACATCCACTCCCAATGGCCGGGGTATCACCGAGGAATCGGCTCCACCAGAGTTCATCAAGGTCAACAAGTGGGTGTGGAATGCGAGTTTCCCATGCGGAGCTCCCCGACACGCAGGCTCTGAGCGCACACGTGTTTGGCCTCACACAGATCGCACTCCGGGAAAAGGGACGCACACTCCGAGACGACATGAGCCGGACACAGCTGGAGCCGTTATGAGGGAGAGTTACAATACAAGACTATTCGATTTCACTTTAGAGAAGTTGAACAAATATTTAGAAGCTAAAATACATGTTAAAAATCCTCATTTTGAAGACAGGCTGCCTGGCTGATGCACCATTCCAGTTTTCACTCTGATGTTTCACTTGCATGGTTTTCATTAAGAATTCATTTAAAGTCTCTCAGTACAGATCATTCATTTGTTTCATGTCACCTCTTCTGAAACCGCCACAATGACTCAATGATTATTGAGCACAAGTGTTTTGGCAAAACAAGCTGCCTACATCACCCACAATGCAGCCAAACTTGACGGATTGTTTAAAGGCTCCAATAATTGGTTAATTAACTTAAGTCCACCTCCAAAAGAAAAAATGCAATGGATTTTGACATAGAAGCTATTTAAGAAAAACAAAACAAAGAGAAAAA